ACCCTCACTCTACTCTAGTCATGCTTGCATATATTACATGATCTTGTCTTGATATGTTGCATTTTGCAAACCTTGATTTGTTTTGCTTAAGTGTTTCTTGCATGTTTTGTACCTTGCTTAGTGTGAGTTTAGCCGAGATCATCTTCAGTCTAGAATTATCTTGGAACCACTTTGTTTGACCTCCACCTTCGCCTTGGCCGAGATGTTACCTTTGCACCTAAGTGATCTTGTCCTGGAGTGGTATGACCTAGACCGAGGTGTAGTACATCTAGGCCAAGGTGTGGCACAACTAAGTCAAGTGTTGTCCTTCCTAGCCGAGATCATTACCTGCCGGAGTGTCCATGCCATCTTGTTTGTTGAACACACCTTGTCATAGTCTTGTCTTGTCAATCTATCACCTTTTTTAAGAGAACCAATCAGCCGTTGCCACGTGTCCGAGCTGAGTGTTAAGTCAGCCAGCAGACCTAGAAATGTATCATTTGCTATATGTCTTTGCTTGTGAGGAGAGAGAAGCTCTAAAAGAAGAAAAAGAAGTTCTTAGAGGAGGAATAGATTTCCAAGCTTGATCCTTAGAGTTCAAACCGTTTGATTCGTGTTTTGAGGTTAGAATCTTAATCTACTCTTGTTGTTCTTATTGATTATCTAGTTGCATTGCATGATCGAACCTGATTTGCAAGCCATCCATCGATTTAAAGTTGGGTTTAGAAAGAGAAAGTGGTATTCATGTGTTCTTGAAGAAAATGTGTTGTTTGATCCGAAAGTTTGCATCAAGGTTCATGTTTTGTGTTTGTTTTCATAAAATCTTCGGGTATGGATACCCAGGTCCATGTTTTTAAATTCATAGCATGAAATCTCAGATTTTGTAATGATAAATTATGATCTTTGCATCCATGTTCTTCGTGTTCATGTTCTTCAAGAAAGGGAAACCCAGATTTTCCCGACTTCATTTCCTTGAATGTGGCCATCGGAGGCCACACCTCGGCAAGGAGGTGTGGGACCTCGGCCAAGACCTGGTTGGTGCCCAGCAAGTTTTCTCGAGATGAGAAACAGTGTTTTGTTTCGGCTCGACTTAGTTTTGAAGGAATGCATGCCGAGATCATTTGCATTCATGTAAAGCTTGTTTGAAAATGCATTCAATAAACTTTGCCATGTGTTTGTAGGGCTTGGACTCTCGCTTGACCCCAACGTTTGAAGAACTATGTGAGTGGTATTTTTAATAAAGTTATGTTATAAAGTTTTGATAAAGCTTCGCTTTGTTTTGAAAAGTATTTGTTAAGCATGAATGATTATCCCTATTTTGTGTATCAAGTGTCAGTCTTGTTTTGGATAACAACCTTTGAAAGTCCGTACGTGCTAGGGGACTATAAGCATTTGTAGCACAACCTTTGTTAACGTCACCCCTTGAAACTTGAAAGACTTTGATTGATGAAGCATGAAGGATTTGTTAGATGAACTTGATTCCTCCCTTGTTAGTTACAAGCTATGATTATGTATTGTCTTGTTAAAGATCTCGGATATCATACATGCAAACCCTTTATTTCTTGTACCATTCACTGAGTATCCAAACTCACCCTCTCTATATCTATGTAGGTGATAAGCAGGACGGCAGTGACGCCTAGATGTGCCTTGCAACTTGTTTTGGACTCGCATTTTGTGGCATCTTGAAGATCATGCTTCTTCACTTGCATCTCATTGTGTTTTGTATATGATGGCTTGAGAAGCCTTTTAGTCAAGATGTAATATGAATTTTATTTTGCTTATAATCAAGTTGTAAAGCTATGAAAGATGTATGCCATTTCATTTGACTTATGCACAGCGCTTATGAACTAATTAGGTTTGTATAAATTGCTTCCGCACATGTTAGCCCCATACGTAATACTCTGACTGTGTGAATTTTGAGAGTTGGCCTTCAGTAATCTCGGATTACTAGCCATCATGGCACCATTCTACTAGGGGCGGAATGGGGTCGTGAAAATTTGGCCTCTTTTTTGTTTCCATTGTTGCTAACAGTTTCAAAGCTTCATTCTCAAATCCCTCGTAGAAAAGCCCATAAAATTTGCTAAGAATTCCAAAATTAGAAGGGCAAGCACCTCTATCTTCCACCTATCTGAAGACTATTCCTTCCTGAACCACCAAGTCCTTACTCAATTCAACCTTATCAACTATGTCATGTCTAACCACAATCAACATAGCCCCACAATCCAATGATTGACCTCATTTTCATCAACCTAGCTTTCACAATCTCACCCTAAAGTCCCCAACCTCTAAATTCCAAACTCACTTTCGAAACCAGACTTTCATCCATTTCCTCTTGACCTGCACAAGTGACATGGCCGTTCCTCTAACTGGTTACAAACAATTTGAAGAGAAGGGCTTTAAAAATTAGGCCCAAAAGAGGAGCTCACAACTTGGGCCAAATTAGGCCGTCGAGCCGAGTCAAGTCAAGCTTTTGAGTGTTCAAGTTAGTTTACTAAGAATTAGTCAAGCTCAAGTTTGAGCCAAACTCAAGTCGAGATTAAATAATTTAGCTCAAGTTTGGCTCATTAAATATTTGAGAAACTCAAGCCAACTTGTTTACATAAACGAGCTGAGTTCGAATTCAAGTTCAAGCCTTAAAAAAGAAAATTTAAAAAAAAAATAAAAATAAATTAATTTTAAGTATTAAGAGAAAATAAAATAAAAATTTATGAGCAAAATATATAAGAATACTTATATTAATATTAAATTTACAACAAATATAAATAGAAAAATAAAATAAATTAATGAAAATTTATTTGATATATTATAAAAATAAATATTAATTTATATATCTTTGTGTTCATGAATCTATTTGAGCCAGTCTACTCAACCTCGGCTTGATTAGTAAACTAGCCTAAAAAATTCGTATGAGCTCATTCATTTAGCAAACACGCCGTACTAGAATTGTTCATAAACATCTCGGTTCGGTTTTAGCCCTATTTTCTTATCTTCACCAATCACTTGATCCATTCTTGAGCTGCAAGAACTGTTCGGCTGATTAAACGGATAATATGAACATTTTGATTAGGGTTCACGTTTTGCTGTGTTTTCTGAAAGCTGATTTGTTTCTAAACAGGAATGGAGTTATCTGCGAGGAGGGTTAACGACACTTGATCGGGACTATGGTTGGATAAACAACATTCAGCATGATATTGGAACTCATGTGATACATCACCTCTTCCCTCAAATCCCACACTACCACTTAGTAGAAGCAGTGAGTACTCTCAATAATTTGAACTTAAACACTGACTGCAACAAAATATTTTGATTGTTGTTCTGATTGGTTTGCGTGTTTTTGAAATTACAGACGGAGGCTGCTAGGCCTGTGCTTGGGAAGTACTATCGTGAGCCTAAGAAATCTGGTCCTCTTCCACTTCACTTATTGGGAAGCCTTGTAAGAAGCATGAAACAGGATCACTATGTGAGTGACACTGGGGATATTGTATACTATCAAACAGATCCTCAGCTCTCTGGCTCCCCGGAAGCAGAATGAAGCCCTAGAAGATTTTCAAGTTCACTGATAGGAAGACTGCTAAGCTACTAATTCTTTATAACCGATTTCAATTTTGACTGTAGTTGAAATAAATTATCTTGTAGAAGTAAAATTGGGGGAGCAACCATTCTGCAATAGGTATTCAAGCTCTTCTAAATTGGAGATTGTATTGAGTTAGTTAAATTTGTAATATGATAATTGAAGTTAATAGTGTATGTCATTAACATGTTAAAGAAAGGACCAGTATTGTTTTCATTGGGAACTCTCTCCCCCACTTGTGCGCATGCAAATGCACATTTACACCATGCATTAGGCAGCTATAAACTCCACAAATATTCATCGTCTACCAGAAAAGTAACTATTTTTTCATTTAGTGGATTGCTAAAAACAAGTTAGTAAAAACAGCAAGATTTAAACCTGTGTTCAAGATGTTGTCATCTTAATAAAGAGAACGACCTACCAAACATAATAACACAGCATCCTTAGTGTTCCCATGTTCTTTGTATTCCAATAGTTAGAACATGGCCTCACAAGTGTATGCTGCAGAGAAAACAACTTCCCAGACATATGCATTAACAAATGAAAAGATACCAAATATAATAGCAGGAGTACAGCAAACAAAAATCTAAAATTTCCAGCAATCACATCAACAGTTAGAATGGCATTGTAAGCAGCACTTTGCTGCCTGTCCAAGAGGAGGTACAAAGGAACAAACATTGATGCCCTAGTTGGAGCTATAACAAAGGTGGGGTGGCAGCCTAACCACGGCATCTCAGGATTGGCCAAAAAAAAAAGATGCTAAGTTGTAGTTTATATTAACCTCATCAATAGTGGGTAATCAATCTTTGATGAAAAAATGAGTTTGTTAACCAGGTCACAAAACAACCTTAACTCTAAATCTCAATTCAAAGGTTCAATCACATAGAGATGTAAGTTCTAGCAAACATGGCACAAAATATATATTGATTTGTTTCCAGCATGGACCATAAACAAAAAGAAGAACAGCATTTTATAATTATCTTGTTAGTTTCATTAATACTAGATAAACAAAGACTCGTGTAAAGCTCATATGGCATAAGTATGATCGCCTTATTTTAGTTATATAGACAACATATTGGTTCGGTGTTGGCTGTGTTGCAGAGTTGGGCTGGGGGGAGGGTTGGGAAGAGGCGTCATAAGGAATGGTCGCTTGCGGGGCATTGTTTGATGTGGTTGATAGGGTTGGAGCGAAATAGGCGTATTTTTCATGGTGTGTCTTGGCCGGTCCCGTGATTGGAGCGGCGGTTGCTCACTGTGCTTCATAGTTGGGTTACGGTTACGGTAGATCCGGATGTGTTACCTTTTGTTGATTTTGTAGATGCTTTGATTAGTTAGGCTTTGGGCTGTTCTAGGCTTCATTTTTGTATTATTTGCATCATCTTGATGCTTTTCTAATAAAATTTGTTTATTTATCAAAAAATGAAAAAACATATTGCCATGATCAAGTTACCTTTCTAAAACATTCAAGAGCTTCTGAACTGACTTTACATAGATCTGTGCAGAGCTGGAGTCCGGTTATTAAAACTCCGTGGTGCTTTTCCTTAAGTAAAGCAGCAGCAGGGTTTATAAAAATTTCTGCCAGGTCCGGGACTTTCTTTATAATCCTTATAGAGCACAATGCTGCCTGCATTACACAGAAAACAAGTAAACACAGTTACAAGAAATATCAAAGATAGGCCCGTGACCTGATAGTTGACAATGAAAAAACATTAAATCATCAAGCATTACATAATTTCCTACGGTCAACTCTACTAATTATGTAAAGAAACTCAAGCTTCCAAATTACAATCTTTTAACTTCACTTTCACCAAAGAAAACAGCCAAAGCAGAGCATATTGCAAAGAAAAAGAAACAGAATCAAACAGAAGAAAGAAGTTCAAAATTATCAACCATCCTATCCTGAATCACTTCCAAAGGTGGGACTCTGGTGATAAAAGAAATGAGCATTACAGCAGTTGTAAAGAAAGCAAATTGCACCAGCGTCTGCATTCAGTTTCCCAGCATGAAAACTCATATCACCATAACATTTATTAGCGAGGGGAGCATCCCTTGGTGATGTAGCTGTCACCAATGGACCAAACATTATAACAGTAATAAGAACAACAAAATAACAACATTAAAATAAAAAATAAAACCTCATATCACCAGGACATTTATTAGCAAAGGGAGCAATAACCCCATCTCCCGGTTGTGTAGATATCTATCACCAATGGACAACAACAACATAAACAACAAATAAAAAGAACAATACAAAAAATAAAAATAAAAAAACAAGCATGCCCCCCGGTTGTGGAGAGAAAATTTAAAAAAAAAAAACTTAAATTAATTTTAAGTATTAAGATAAAAATAAAATAAAAATTTATGAGCAAAATTTATAAGAATACTTATATTAATATTAAATTTACAACAAATATAAATAGAAAAATAAAATAAATTAATGAAATTTTATTTGATATATTATAAAAATAAATATTAATTTATTTTTTTTATGTTTACAAGCTTTTATCGAGCTAAGCATAGAGCTACTTTCCGTTTTCCAAGGGACTGAAACGAAATACTAGTGGAATAATGAAATTCTAGTGTTTCCATTGGAACGCAGCAGAACATAGCTAAACACACCGTACTATCTAAGTAAATTTGTAGACTTTATTTTGTTGGGACCTTAACACACTTTTAGAATAATTTACACTAGTGCTTAACAAAATTTAGTTATTTGAAATTGAAAATACTTGAAATTTTTGGTTCATAACAACATTGGTTTTTTTATTTTACATTTGTTCTTGTATGGGAATGAGTAATGAGTAAAGTAATAACGCATTTATATTAAAATAAAAGTAAACAACATACAAAAATTTGTTCTTGTATGTGAATGAGTATATAAATCTCAATACGTTTACTTAATCAATCCAATTATTAGACTTCTATATATTATTTCAATTTACATTTTCAAAAATTTCTATATATTTTCAAATTCTTTATCTTGCTTCTAAAATATTTTAGAAATGTTTATAAAAAGCTCCCATTTCTGTGCTAAATGAAACAATAACCTAAAATGAAATCTTGATCTTTGATCACTCCTCCCATCATTCCTAGCCAAAATCTTGTGAGACTCTTCCTTTGGAGAAATGAGATATAGAAATAGATCCCTACTCAACTCCATAACCTTCACCCCTACTATATTACCCCTAGGCAACAATATACCTTGGCTTCAATTCTCCCCTTCTCCAGCACCAATAAACCCCCAAACCCCAAGGAAGTTGATTGTCTCTAAGAATGAAACAAGAGAAGAAAAAAAAGTCAAACGTAAATTTATTGTTCTTTTGTTAGAAAGAATAAGTTTTTAATGGAATTGACGTTTTGAAATAAGATAATCTCATCCAAGATTATAAAAAATTTGATGTTGAGGAAAGATTAAGTCTTAAATGGAATTTACCTTTTGAAATAAGATGATCTCATCCAAGACCATAAAAAATTTTGATGTTATCAAAGACGATAAAAAATTTTGATTAATAAAATAAATAAACTTCAAAATTTATTATGTTTGCTACATTAACACTATGTTTGGTTCAAGGATTTGGATAGGGATTCGGAAAAGGAGAGGGAAAGGAAAAAGGTAGGTAAAATGTAAATGAATTCCCGCACTTTTTCCTTTTTCCTTTTCAAATCCCTTCCCAAATCCATGAACCAAACATAGCCTAAAAGGGAAAATGCTAGGAATGTGAATATTTTTGGGTTCCAAAAAAAGGTAGCCATAGGTAGAATAAAGGTGCAACTCTTTTCCCTGAAAGCAATCAAAAGGGAATTACAATATTTCCATCGTGCTAATTGAGTCAAATAGTTGCATCTTCTGAATTAATTTGTGCAGTTTCAAAATACATACACCAAATTCCTCTTTGTTCTCATGTACAAGTGTTTCTCCCAAAGGTACAAGGTGAGCTCCCATTAAACTGTCTTCAGGCAAAGTTCATAAGAAGAATGCTAGAATAATTGTAATTACTTCTAATCATCAGAAAATTTTCAAGTGCTCCTGCCATGACCCTTCCACAATGAAATCCAAATGTGTAAATTCAATTTATGCATTTGTGGAGTTAATAAAGTTCTTGACAAATGGCTATAAAAGGATCCCATTATATAAAAGGATCCCATTATAAAAACTTACTTTCTTCCGAATATTTGGATCTCGAAATTGCAGCAATCTTTCAACTTCAGGTGCAAGATCACGAGCCATTTCCTCAGAACATATATTCCCCAAAGCACAAAGAGCTAGTCCAACGATGTACTGGTTGAAGTGATTAAGATCTCTGTGCATAAGTCAAGGTTTTGGAGGGGTGTACTTAAAAACCCGTAAGGATGGTAATTGATGATAAATTTATTCACCATAAATAGACAGGGACAAGAAACCGAATAATTAAGTCACACAATAAAAAAGTAGAACGCGCATAGACTGGATACTGCTTCAATGAGTTTGTGACCAACATCAGTACTTCTTGCCTTTCATCAAGAAGCAACATAAGGCCAAGATATCCTATCCTCTTCTCTGGAAATCCAGTAGATGCAATTAACTTCAGGCATTCCATTTGACCAAAATGTGTGGGGTAACCAAGCATGTGAATGAACATGAGCTTCGCAATATTACGATGACTATAATCTTGATCATTATCATCAACTGCTGCACGAATTGCAGCACACTCTTTTCTTACAACAGCTCGCTCCTCTGCTGCAGTTTTGCAATCACGTATAGCCCGAATCATGTCCCTGCATTGGAACAGTAAGCACCTCCAACATGATTAAATTAACAGTTTCAAACTAATGATGTAGCAGCAATACACAACACCAATAAAAACATATATATATATTAAAATAAGAAATAAATAAATAAAAACACAACCTCAGCAAAATTTGATTTACACATTAGCAATCTAATTAATTGCCTGGAGATAAATGCCAATGTCAGAAGAACAACCTGATATTAAAAGGAAATTATATTTTTTTCAAATATGTAAGGAGACATTGTATGTAATAAGAACTAAAAAATTGTAAAGAAGAGAAAGCCAAATCGAGAATAACAAGCTTCCAAATCAATAATAACAAGCTTCTTTAATTAATTTAATATGCCAACTTTTACCCTTATTCTTGGAATGGCTTTTCGCTGGGCGATGTAATCATATCAGACCTGACTTACTATAATTGATAAATTCTTGTGCTATGTGGGGTGTAGAGAGATGGCGGTGTAAGTTTTCTTAATGAAACTGTATATTCAATTGTATATATAAAACAGAAGAATACATTGGTTTATATAGCAAGTTAACCCTAGAACTAAAAAAGCAAACAAAAACCCTAATATAAACAAAATATATAAACTACCATATATACATGAAATGTAATATGCTCACACCCCCGCTTAAACTCAAGGTGTTTTAGCAGAAAACACTGAGAGTTTGCCAAGAAGAAGCCAAAACCAAGCAGTGGTGTGAGTCTTGATAAAGAAGTTAGCAAGTTGCAAAGCCGAAGAGACGAAAGGAAGCAAGATATAGCCAGACTGCAGATGGTGACAAACACAGTGGCAATCAATCTTAATGTGCTTTGTCCGCTCATGGAAGACAGTGTTGTGGGCAATCTAAATAACATTCTTAACGTCCATTTGATAGAGAGGCCAATGTCGAATAGCGGCAACAGAAATCAAGGTACAGACAGAAGTTATCTTGGCAACAAAGGCAAAGCTGGGGATGTTCAAAAATCCGATCAAACCGGTAATCTGGACAGGACCAGACCGAATCGTACGGTTTGGTTCGGTTCTATTAAGAATTGGTTCAGTTTCGGTTTAAAAAATATGAGAACCGTAAAAACGGTTCAGTTAATGGATTTTATGAAAAAATCACGGTTCGAACTGAACCGAACCAAATATTAAAAGATATATATATATATATAATATCAAGTTTTGTTTTTATTAATTGGGCTTTTGTAATTTTAATGATATTAGGATGATATAAATATATAATGTTGAGTAATGCCTTAATATTATTAGTTTTTATCATGAGTCAAATGTAATTAGTTTGAATAATTATTTTGCTAATACTAACAATTTATTCTTGTAAATAGAAATTTTTGGAACCGTGAACCAAACCGAAACCGAACCGTTATTTCGGTTTGATTCTGGTCCGGTTTTACAAGTGTAATGGTCTGGTCTGGTCTGGTTCTCAAAATCACAAAACCGTTAGGATCGGTTTGGTTCTTGGATTTTCTCAGAACCGAACCAATCCGAACCATGTAAAGGGAAAAGGTCTCCTCATAATCAATATCATACTCCTGCGAGAAACCCTTGGCAACCAAGCGAGCTTTGTATCGCTCAAGAAAACCATCAGAATGAGTCTTGACTTTATAGACCCATTTGCAACTAACCAAATTCTTGCCAGCAGGCAACGGAACCAATGCCCAAGTGTTAGTCTTCTGTAAGACAAACAACTCCTCATCCATAGCTCGAACCCAAGTGGCATCCTGACAGGCCTCCTTGTAAGACTGAGGTTCTGAAAAAGAATGAATAGTAGACAAAAAAGTACGATAGCAAACAGAAAAACATGTATTAGACCAACTCAACCTATTTGGAGGATGACGCTCTCGAGTAGGATATTGGTGTGCAGCAGGATCAGAGTCGTCAAAAGCAGGAGGATCAACAGTAAGGGCAGAGACAACTGGGGGAGGGAGAGCCTGGTGACGAGAATAAACTAACAACGAAGGAAGAGAATGAGTAGGATGGGGAGAAAGAGGAGAAGAGGGAACAAGTTCATGGGGAACAGTAAAGACGCACTCATCAGTAGGGACCTCAGAAGGAAATGGAACAATGTGAGCCAAATCCTCTTTGGAAACCGGAGCAGTGATAGGCCGAAGCTGAAAGCAAGGCAGGCGTTCGAGAAAAGAAACATGACGGGAGACATAAAGACGATGGGAAACAGGGTTGTAATACCGATAGGCTTTCTGAGTAAGATGATAACCCAAAAATACACATGGGACAAACTGGGAACTAAGTTTGGTCTGATCTTTGCGGAGAAGGACAAAATAGGAAAACCCAAACACACGAAGAAAGGAGTAATTAGAAATTTGGGAGAACAAAGTCTCATAAGAAGACTGACCAGAACGAAGGAGAGTAGGCATGCGGTTGAGAAGAAAAGCAGCAGTAAGAACTGCCTCCTCCTAAAACGGAGCCAGAACTAAGGCAGAGAGAAGAAAAGACCTAGCTGTCTCAAGGAGATGACGGTGTTTACACTCAGCTCGACCATTTTGGACAAGTGTATCTGTACAGGAAGTTTGGTGAATGGTACTCAAATTGGCCAAATACTCACAGAACTCATTTTTAAAATATTCCCCACCCAAGTCAGACTGTAACACTTTAATGGGAGACCTAAACTGAGTAGTAATCATAGACTGAAAGGTACGGTATAGCTGATAGAAATCGGACTTATGCCTCATAAGATAAACCCAAGTATAACGGGTGCAGTCATCAACAAATGACACATAGTATGCAGAACCCCCTTTGGTGAGAATAGGAGAAGGGCCCCAAACATCAATATAAACTAAAAAAAACAGTGTATCAGAGATAGAAGTACTTTTACGAAAAGGTAAGGCCGTCATTTTGGCAAGTTTACACCCTCAACATTCACTAAGTTCACTAGGATAAACTTTACCTAATATACCTGACTGAGCTAAAGACCGTAAGCGGTCAACAGACAAGTGCCCTAATCTAGAATGCCACAAGTAGAAAGGACTGGACAGAGAATCTAACTGAAAAGAGAAAAAAACAATTGGAGAGGTTGTCATAGGCAGATGTAAGCTCTCCACCACATAAAGGTCTCCAACTCTACGACTCGTCCCAATCTGCTACTTGGACATCCGATCCTGCACAGAACAGATAGAAGAAGAAAAGATAACATCAAAACCGGAGGCATCAAGCTAACTGATAGATAATAAATTGACAGATAATTAAGGAACGTAAAGGACAAATGGAATAGAGACAACAGACATAGCAGACGGTAAGATAGACCCAACAGTTATAATAGATATACCAGACCCATTAGCAGCATCAACAGTAATAGGAGAGTGGAAGGGAGTACCATTTTGAAGTAAGAAAAGATGGAGAGTCATATGATGAGAGGCACTAGAGTCAAAAATCCAGACAGTGAAAAGATAACTGAAAAACCTGAATGAGAAGAGAAAACAATGGAGGCAGACGGAAATGGCTAGGAGGTAGACAGTGTATGCTGAAACTGACTAATCTGAGCACTTAAGGAAGTCAAGTCAAGATCAAGGGCTGGAGCAGATACAGTAGAACCGGTGGGAGCCTGAAAATTACTTGGAGAAGAAGAGTAAAACTAAGTTCGAAACTGCTGAGAAGACAAGCCAGACATACATCTTCTTGGGACATTGATACTTCCAATGGCCCCTCTTATGGCAGAAGGCACACTCATCTAATGCCAATGGCCCCCTCTTGTTTACGAATACACTCATAATATTGGAAGTCAAATGGGTCCAACCAAAACCAGAGATAGAAACTGTGGTCAAAACGTAATAAAGAAGAAACTCCAAAACATGGTCAAACTGTAATAAGAGATATTTCAGAACACCCAAGCAGACAGTACCAAATGGTACAAATATACACAGTGGGTCAGATACGATCAAACCTGAATCAAGTTCCAAAATAGTGAAACAGAGATCCCGATGGGTCGAACTGAGAGAAGAGGCGAGTCACTTTGGTCAAACCCTTCGGCGTAAGAGGCGACTACGCAAACGATGACCTACGAATGGAACCAATGATCGAAGATCAACAATCACGAACAGATGATGAACCTAACCACGTCGAAGGCAACCAACGATGGACAAGAGAAAGAGATATATGTCGCAAGGTCCAGGATGAACAATGAACCAAAGAGGGTCGAAGCAAATGACTGAAGACGACAGAATGACCAGACGAACTAGAGAGACGGCTGAAGCAGACGAACCAGAGAATCGTGATCTTGGGAGTGTAATTCGGACTCAGATGATTCGCAACTTGATAGGTTGCGATTCAAGCTCAAATGGGTTGCACATTCAAAAAAGAAGAACCAAAGAACTCAAACGAACCAGAAAAGATTTGAGGGAGGCTAGGGTTTCAAACCTTGCTCTGATACCATATAAGTTTTCTTAATGAAACTGTATATTCAATTGTATATAAAACAGAAGAATACATTGGTTTATATAGCAAGCTAACCCTAGAACTGAAAAAGGAAACAAAAGCCCTAATACATACAAAATATATAAACTACCATATATACATGAAACGTAATATGCTCACAGGCGGACCCTCTCATTATTGTTTAGAAAATTTGCAAATTAGACTTAACCTCTATCAGGCTAGTCTGTTTGCTAGATTAATAAGATGAATAGGGATTTAAAACCATGTGGTCCTCACATGTCTCCCCTTATCCCCATGTCCATTGTTTGGTGTAACAAAGCTAATCATAGGATCAACTCTTATCTCCCAGATTAGTTCATCACTCCTCCCCAGATTGTCCTTCCTTCTCGTCCAATAGTAAAAAATAATCATGTCTCATTATCCTACCCTAACTAAACATAATATAGCTAATCCGATGGTACATAAAATCTCATCCATTATTCTATGGTATTACTTACCTCCTCTTATCCTATGATATTCAATCCCCTCCAAAATAATACAAAAATCAAACATAGACTATAGGTTAAAGTACCAAACCAAACTAAGCCTTATGTTCCCATCAAGTGGGGTCGGCTACATGAATCATTTTTCACCATTCAGCTCTACCAAGGCCTATGTGCTCAATTAAATCAAATAAGTCATATATTTTTTCATTGTTGCATCCCAATTAGCTTAGGTCTTCAACTCCCCTAACATCTCCATTTATGGTAACCATGTCACTCTTCCTTATCATTGCATCTATAAGTCTTCAGTGTGCGTGTCCCAATCACTATCCATCTCATATCAGTCAAAAATAATAATAATAATAATAATAATAATAATAATAATAATAATAATAAAGGATCCTTTCAAGTTGAAATATGCCATTTCATGATAGTGATTTCATCAGCAAGTTGAATGAGTGGCAATGTTCAATCCATTTCTCGCAAGTCCATGACTTTGTTTTGGGCAAAAAGCTGGAGGATTAAAAGGGGATTTTGAAGTTCAAAGCAGTGAGATGAAGAGAAGAAAAGAAAATGTTGCGTGAGGGAGAAAAAAAAAACACTTTTCATGGAAAGACATCACTTACCTGCAAAATGAGATATATCTGACTCTTGATAGATGGAAATTGAAAATGAAAACGAGACAAAAAGGTTAACTGGGACGAAGCCCAACTAAGGGAGATGAAAGCTTCAAATTATTTCATTACATGCCAAATGCAAGAAGGATATACCATGCCAAATACTAACCAACTATATATCGCAACTCATTCTCATTTAATAATTTTTTATTTTTTATTTTTTATTTATTTTTTATTTTTTTTGATAAACATTCTCATTTAATAATTTTACAATATACAAAATGGAGGCAGATTGCCCCAGTCCATAACCTAGACGCAAGAGCGTTGTTTGGGCTCTTGAGGCCCATCGCAGGTTCTGTTTCAATAATTTGAACCTTCATTTTGTCAAGCACTTCGAGTATTTTATTCACACAAAAAATTAAGTCGATCTGATAATCGTAACCTATTTATTTTATCGTGTTTATCACCAAAAAAATGAATGGTTTATTTTTAAAAATACAATTGTCGTCTACTTTTTTGCTAACAAACGCGACAAATTAAATACGCTACGATTATCGGATTTACCTTTTTTTGTGGATAAAATATACGAAATTTCCAACAAAATGAACAGTTCTGATAATTGAAAGGGGACCTGTGGTGTGGCCAAACAGAGTCCTCTAGCCTAGACTGGAGGGGACTCACCTCCATACAAAATAGTCTTAGGAAAATGAGTAAATCTAAGAATGTTATGTTAGAACTTATGAGACTTAAAACAGAACTGCCGAGTATTGCAAAAATGGCAGTTAAGAATGAGGAACCTTCAAGTATATCACTTTAAAGCACCCTTTCAAGGCCAACTCTGTGAAGAGCCAATCGTGAAAAATAATTTTTGCAACTTGTTACAGGCAGGGATTCTAAACTTAAGTTGGCATGCTTCATCTAGTTTCTTCAATTCTCTCCCTCATTCATTTCATGTTTGCTAGGAGGCCTATGAAAAATCAAAACAATTTTTATATGCATGCCAACCTCCAAGGCACACAAAACACATGCCAATATTAGCTGAATATGACCTTTGCCTTAACATGTACATGGGTTCGTTTGGCAAGAACTTTTTTAGTTGGCTTTTTGGCTTTTTTGACTTTTTTAGCCTGAGACTTTTTTTGTTTGTTTGGTTTTCTTGTTTGGCTTTTTTGCATTGGAAATGATATTCCCAAAGTGAAATGATAAAATTGCCCTCCACTTGGAAATGATGTTTTTTTGACTTTTTGTTTGTATTTGGGGCAATTTGGTAATTTTGCATCTCAACTCAAGTGTTTTGGCATTTTATGATTTTGTAGCTTTTTTTTGTCCATATGTGATTATTCCCCACAACAAATGCCAAACAGGGGCTAAGTTACATACTAAATAGCTAAAGAGCAAGAGACAATGTTAAGTTAGTACATTGAAAGAAATGACAACGGGGAGATTCAGAACTTTTCCTCATCTATAAAATAATCAAATCAGGTCGTTCAGTCTCTAAGGCAACTAGCTAAAGTTTGTAATATCAAATGAAATGAAACAAGAAGAAGAAAAAAAAAAGAATATACACAAAATTAGGGATATCAAGTAGAAAAACCCAACACCTTTTCTGTCCGCATCAGTACTAGATCTGATGCTACCCAATTAAGGACTACATATAGCAGATACACTAGTTGATACTAAATATTCTTACTTGTGTTGTTAATGTTATGCGTACGTACCATAATGTTTAGTTGTTGCCATTGTCAGTAACTTTGTTTTTGTTGTTTCCTTGTTTTGGTAATTTTATTTCAAAAGTTGTATATTTCTTATGAGCACAGCAAGAAGAATAAAAACACATTTCCACTACAAAATGAAATTGCAATTTGCAACCCAAACTTTAAAACACAAAATATATATATATATATATATAGGGAAAGGCTACATGGGCACCCCTTTTTGGGTGTGTGTGTGTGCACCTTATGCAAAAAGCATAACTTTTATCACAAAAATACAACTTTTTGCTTCTCACAAAATATATAACTTTTATCACAAAAAGTATAACTTTAGTTAACATAACTTTTTAGCTGGATATCATAACTTCATCATTCATAACTTTCATCACAAAAATTGGAACTTTCATCATAAAAAATTCATAACTTTTATCACGAAAATCGTAACTTTTCTTAAAATGTTCAAGTGCACATTGTAGCATTTCCCATATATATATATATATACACAAATATAACCAATTGAATGCACAAACCCCCCAAAAGATTGAGATAAAAAAACAAAAATTCAAATTCATATTTTTGCAATGATACACTATAATCTCACACGTTATGCTAATTCCTTACAACAAATGCATTCCAAGTTTCCTCCCCATACAATTACACAAGCGCGCACACGTTTAAATCTATTTTTGGGCATAACGTCTTCAATTTCAACAATTCTAATATCAAATCCCATCAATTCCATTAGTTTTCCACCTCCATTTGAAATTTCACCTACTTCGATCACGAAA